TATATATATATATATATATATAAAATAAATAAATAAATTGGATAAATAAATAAATATTTTGAATAAATAAGTAAATATACTGGATAAATACTTAAATAAATGAATAAAAATAGTAGATATATAAAATAAATAAATATATTAGATAAATAAATAAATAGAAAAAATAAATAAATTGGATAAATTAATACTTAAACATATTAGATAACTAAAACAAATTGATATATTGCGTAAATTAATAAATAATTTGAATTCATAAAAAATAAATAAATAACGTCATTACTTAATTATTTAATTAAATGCATAATGATAAAAATATAATGAATGAAAAATATTTTAAACTTATAATGGTAATCACTGTTTATTAACTAATATTCAGAAAGATTATTCACTTCCTATGAATTAAAAATTGTATAAAAATGGTCTGGCTGTGAATGATTAAACAAAAAAAAATAGACTGTTAATTCAATATATTAATAAATAACTAACTAACTAAATAAATAAATATATAAGATAAGTAGATAATTATATAAATAAATATCAAATCAAATCACTTTGATAATCATGCATAAGACCAAAACAAACTAAACAGCTTTAAATACTGTAGCAAACCATTCGTTCATAAAAATTGAGTATTTGTACACATTTCAGCATTAAAGCTTCCTTCTACTCTTCTGACTTTGAATATTAACCTTAATAAAGCCATGATTATATCACAGATTTAAAAAAAGTAGCTTGAAATGCACAATGCAATTTGTAAACTATATTAACTGTTCTTTTTAAACTCTAAATAGCAGAAATGCTTTAAAAATGATCTTATCACACTGAAAAAGTGCAGCAGGCTTCATGAAATGACCCAAATATACAAATAATGATACGTTTTAATGGAGTGGCTGAGAAATAGCACAATATAAAAAGGGAAGCATTCACTATTTGTATCTCTCTCTTCCAGGAACCTGATATCTTAAAAGACGCCTCGCAGATGATGATGAGAATGCGCTTTTATTTATTTATTTTTTGTAGAAATAATAATCTGGTTTCCTTGCCCTCAGCGCCTTCTGAATCAAGGGTAGAAAGAGAGAAAACCTGTCTCCATCTCCTGATGATTAAAACGGCAGCTTCTCCGCCGCCGTCATTAGAAACAACAGTGGAATACAAATGAAAGCAACTGTTTTTTTTTGTAGGTGTGTGTAATCACAATGCAATTACAAATGTGACACGATGACTGCTGCCTGAAAGCATGTTGCATGATGGGTGTATGAGTGAACAATACATGTGCACTGACTTTTTTGGCGATACAGATTCTTCCAGCATGGTGGATTCTTCATCCCCGTCCAAACCGAACCGGTCTTTACTCTGCTTCTGTAAGATAACACCATCGATAAACATTTGTGTGAATAAATGACAACCACATCTGCAGGGTCAATCTTTTTGGAATAGTTCAAACTCCATGTTGATTTTTCATAAATAACCTGGTTTGACAACATTTTGGGTGAACGTTTGCTTTAATATTAATACTAATACTAATATTAAAAGGTCAAATGTTTCCTTAATCATTAAGGTTATATAAGAATTAGTTATTAAAAAATACAGTAATGTATATATTTAAATCATATATATATATATATATATATATATATATATATATATATATATATATATATATATATATATATATATATATATATATATATATATATATATATATATATATATATATATATATATATATATATATATATATATATATATATATATATATATATATATATATATATATATATATATATATATATATATATATATATATATATATATATATATATATATATATATATATATATATATATATATATATATATATATATATATATATATATATATATATATATATATATATATATATATATATATATATATATATAGAGATAGATAGATAGATATATATATATATAT